ATCCATTCATGCTTGAAAGCCAATAAAACGTCAGTCATATGCACTAAAAAGGGAAGCATAAATTATTTTCTTACTAAACAAGAAGCCACCATCTCAAGCCATAGAGTAAAATTTAATTACGTTTGAGGGGAAAATATAGAATCATCTTACCATTTAGAGAGAGAGTGAGAGAGAGAGATTGAATTCCAACAGTTATTGTTTTTGCATCAACCCATGTTTTCCCACAGCTTTCTTGAGCCTAGTGCAAGCTTTTCTCATGCAAATGATGACTTCGCCCATGCTAAGTTCAAGAAAGCTGTGGAAAAATATGACTTGATCCATCTTCTTTTCATGACGTGAACAAATCCCCCAAAATCAATACAAACACAGCAGACAGCACTGAAAATCCTTTCATCTCCCAAAATGCTTTCTTAGCTTCATGTCGAAAAGACAGAGATCATCAACCCTCCTACCAGAGAGAGATGTCATCAACCCTAAACCTAACGTGGTTCTAATATCATTATACAAATCGCTAACGACTAACGTCAAACGTTAGTTGCAGCATCGAAGCAAAACCTCTATATTCGTATGCATCATGAAACCCTAACGCGACCAAAAATGGCAAACACAGAAAAGGGAACATGAAAATCACAATGACGCTTACTGAAAATATAGGAAAAAACGATCACTGTGACTGCGGTGAGGATGTAAACCCTAGAAACAGAGAAGACCGTGTGAAGGGACGTAATACGTACCATGACTCAGAGAGAGAAGAGACATAGAATGGTCGATTAGATGGCTGACAAGACTGATACGGATGAAGTGTTTAAGCCTTAAGCGGAGTATGCTTGGGCCGCTGGATCTCTTCACTTTACGGTCGTGATGTTGGAGAGAACAGAGAAAACACTGTCGAAGCTCTCACCCTATCTCGAGGGTAAACAGCGCAATCACCTGCTGTTCCCGCCATTAACGCTGGCAGGCTCGAGATAGGATTTCGTGATTGACTACAGACTACGGAGCTTTACTTCCATTTTGTTGAGGAGGAAAGATGATCGGCTGGTTCCAACTTCCAAGTGTGCTACCCCGGCGACACGTTCGTGAAGGTGACGGTGGGGAGCGCACCAGATACTGATAGAGATTCGTCTATCTATCCCACGCGCCCAGCGCCAGCGCCACGCCACCAGGCAGCGGCGGGATTTGTGCGTTGAGCCACGCTGCGCCACTGGTGAGAGCAGTTAGAATTTTATTGGTAATTAGCAGTTGGAATAATAGATAATTGTGTTGATTATGTGTAACAGGGAGAAGGTATAGAGGAATTAAATGCCTAAATTTTAGGGCCAATAACGGCAATGCCTGCACGGTTTACGCCAAAAGATTTGAAAGAGGATCTTGAGACACGTAGGACTTGAATGTTGCCGGCATGGACCAACCTAGTTTTTGGTAAAAACTGTTGAGACGGGATCTGTTCCTCGCACTCGGGCGCCTCACATGCACATCCACGGTGCATTGGAAACATCTTCCGTGAATAATAACTTAAAATCACGGGAGATGTTACTAATGCATGGTAGGATGTATTTATGAGGCGCCTTAGGTGAGGAGCAGATATAGTTTCAAAACTACGCTGTGTTTGGTTTGAAGGAAAATATAGGGAAAGGAAGGTAATGGTAGGAAAACGCTTACTGATCTTTTATAAATTTCTTTATTTTTCTCTTCATTTTTCTATTTTTTCCTTCAAACCAAATACAGCCTAAAGTAGCCTAATTTCTTTCAAATATATATAATATATTGTGACTCTTATACTTTTTTCTTTCAAAATTTTAAAATATTTTATGAGGTGGGTGGTCAATACATTGGCACCCCACGCATAGTGCCCCATGAATCCCCACAGCCCATTGGAACATGGGTTGTGGCGAGTTCACATCTCTGCCCCACAATGCCCCACAGCACATCTCCGTCGTGTATTGAGAACATCCCCCGATGATAACATTATAGAGACTAGTACTATCATCGGGAGATGTTCCCAATAAATGATAGGGATGTCCTGTGGCACAGTTCCTTGTGGGGCAGAGATGTGATCTAGGTTGTGGCATGTTGGAATGTGAGCCTTGGTGGGTCATGCTTACTTGCTTGGAATCTCTCAAAATGGAGAGTTTACATCTCTGCCCCACAGCACATCCTCACCATGTATTGGGAACATCTCCTGATGATGGCATCATTAGGACTGGTACTATCATTGAGAGATGTTCCTAATACACGGCGGGGATGTGTTGTGGGGCGTTTTTGGGCGGAGATGTGATCTCCAAAATGAAAGCCTGACATGGTCCTTAGCCTCAGTCCAAGTGGACCTGTGCAAAATTGGAAAATTAATAAAAAATTAAAATAAATAAATAAACAAGAAATTAAAAAAATCTTAAAATTTTATTTCATATGAATTTTAATGTATGCAGTTGTTTATATATGAAATTAAAAAAATATATAATTTTATTCAATATGAATTTTGATATATACAATTGAATACAACCCATGCAGGCATTAGGGCATGACACACTTTTTTGTGCCATATTGTGCTGATGTGTGAGTCTCAAAACCCAAGCCTGGCATGACATAGGAAGGTTTGGGCCAGCATTGGAGAGAGAGAGAGAGAGAGAATGTGCTAGTGTTAATATCTAGCACTCTAGGCATTTTTATCTTGGGCAAGAAGTTTCATAACTTGGAAGTTGAAACAATCTCCACTTTCTTTCAACCGATCAAATATAGAATATCAAATGGAACAAATTTGCTTTTCAATCTCTTTCTCTTTTTTTTTTCTCACTAGTATTCAATTTCCTTTTACCTCTTCTCTCCTCCCCATGTTCTTCTTCTTCTTCTTCTTGCCCAAAAGGGTTTGGGGAAAGTAGGATTTCAAGAATTTTAAATGAGTCATGTGATGTTTCATTGATGAAGGACAGTGGGTCAGCTCACAAGGTATATTTAAGTCTTTTTAAAAAACTAGGATATGTACATTTAAATCAATTTATGAAAATTCAAGGTATGTTTAATCTTGTATCTTTTTCTTTTGAATAAATAAGAAGAGGCTACACAAAATGGGGGTACCATGTTTAAAAAAAAAAAAGAAAAAAAAAAACTGCAAACAAATAAGTTGAGTAGGATCTCTTTAAAAAATCTAAGAGTGGATATGAGGAGTCCGGATCTAGTCCGGATCCAGTCCTGATTCAGTGTGCCTACCTAATCAGGACTGGATATGAGCTGAGCCAAGTTGAATATTAGTTGGCTCAATAGAAAAACATTAAGGCTTGAGCTTGATAGTGAGCCAAGCTTTATATAAAAATAAAAATTATATATATAATCATTTCTTATTATACATATAAAAATTAAAAATATTATATATAATACAAGCTTGATTAATCTTATAAGCTTCATGAATTGAGTTTCATTAGGCTTGAGCTTGAAACTCAATTTGGATCAAGTTGAGCTGAGCTTTTTACAAGGCGAGTTCATATGACTTATAAAAAGCTTGATCTTGTCCACCCTTATTTCTGTATTTGCACATCTTATACATGGTGGATCTCAAACTTTTAGTGAGATGTGCAGGCATAGATCATGTTGGAAGCATGTTGGGATGAGACCCCAATTCTAATAGACCCAAAATCGACTCCATTACTAATTGGTCTTAAAGTCTTATTGGGTGGGGATGACGCAAAAGTTCCTATCATAATTGTCATAAACAATGAGACAAGTATATAAAGTGTTGAGTATGGCAGTTTCCACCTTACCCGGTGGCTATCCACCCATACTCGTCTTGACAAGGGCAATTTTTTCTTTTTCCTTCTGTTTGAAAAATGGATTTTGAAGTGGGGATAGGTTTTGGGATTTTACAACCGATGCTAATATACTAGGCTGGATCCAATCCTCCCTACTAAAATTTCTATAGTTATAATTAAATTAACAATATAACAAAGGATACATTTTAAACTGGAATCCCTAAACCTTCCTCACCCAATAATAGGGGTGCAAATGAATTGGATCATGATCAGTTCTGATCTGAATCTGATCCTGTTTGTGTCAAATTAGATAACCCCGTATTGGATTTTCAAATTGGATAAAATAGGATCAAATTTAGATCACCCCTATCCAATCCAGTCCAACCTATATGTGAGTGTTCACTTGTATTGCATTTTTTTGAAATTGAAAAATACTTATATTTTTTTGTTTTTCTTTATATAAATTATTATATTTTTCTTTTAATAATTTATTAAAGTTCTAAAATTTCATAAATTAAATTGGATTGGATCATATTCGAATATCTGACTTCCTTAACAAATTCAGATTTGAATCATCTGTGAGATTCAATTGAATCTTCAGATCAGATTGAATCTAGCATATGTTATCGGATCAGATTTGGATATACCCCAATTCGAATCTGATATGATCTATTTGCATCCCTACCCAATAACCCTCACTCTTCATGCATAATGTATACATTTATTTTTACATATTTCAATCAAATAATTGAAAATTTTGATATTTATTTATGTTATATATGATAGAAAATTAGATGCGACTTTTGAAACTGACTTATGCGGAGAGGGCATATCAGGCAGCATCGGTACTTTCAAAACCAGTTCAAAGGGGCGGTTTAAGGTTGCTCCACCCCCTGAACCAGTCAGAACCCCAATAAACCTTCTATAAGAGCATATCGGGGTGCTCCAGATACGATACGTATCAACCGATACATGTTGATTTTTTGAACCTTGGAGAGGGTTTATATTTTGAAAATCTAACCAATTAGAGGTTTTGTTTGACAGGGTACAAATTGGGAGGTTTGGGGAGGGTCCCTCCCCGAACCCAGTCCGTTGTCATCCCCAAATCAAACCGGGCTGGAAGACTCTACAAAAGCGGTCGTGCTCACTGACTTGGACAAATAAGACGCTGAATCTCTGAAATTTCATTCGGAATAGACCCACCTGATATTTTTAATACATCAGTTTTGCTTGATTTAAACGATGATCAAACACCACATCAGCATTTTAACTTTTTCAAACTCTATATTTCTCAGCTCCTCAAAAAACAGAAACTTATAACAAGTTTTTGAAGTGAAAAAACAGAGATGTTAGCAAATGGGTTCTGTTGACATGGCATGGAAGCAAAACTCAGAATGAATTCAACCCATTGTCCTCATCAGCCCTGTATTGACAATTTGACATTCTCTCTTAAGTCCTAAACATTATATGAAACAAAGGACACCTACCTAATCCATCCCACCCAAACAGCCACGTAGAAAATTCCTATACTTACAAAAAATAGAAAAGATGGCGAAGCTTAAAAGAATAGCTTTCGTGGAGGGCGTGATGCAACTGTTGATGATGATGCAGGCATCTTGAGAGGGAGAGGAAGTCCTTTACTTTCTTGGCTTGATGCTGCTTTCTCTACCAACTTAGCTGCCTTTGGGTCTGTCAACAGTGTTTTCTGAAATGACTGTGAGAATCCCGTTGCAATAATTGTCACATGAATCTCACCATTGTAACGATCATCAACAACAGCCCCAAATATTATGTTAGCAGAAGGATCGGCCAAGCTAGTAACAACCTGCAAATCCCATTCCAATAAATTGAGATGAATTTGCACAAAAGGAATGAACAGATTATTAGAAAACCAACGTAGAGACAAATCCTAAAAAACTACTCAACGTAGAGACAAAATCCACATTTACCAGTCCAGGTATCTGCAGAATAAGATTGATTCCAACTTACACAATGTACACAAGGAATAATAGTCTTTATAAGATGGCATTGTTTTCACAACAACTGGATTCACACTTTCCAAAAATCTATGTATTTAAATTTCTACAAACGCTAATCTTTTTTTTCTTCTCCTTTCCACTGCAGGCAACTAACCGAACAGTAATGACTTTCTGATAAGAAAATGCTAGTGTTATTGGCAAGGAGTGTCATGGGCCTTAATTCCTTAAATCACAGAAAAAAAAAAAAAAAACAGATAAAACCAAATTGGGAATGTTTTGCAAATAAATGGGTTATGTGCAATTTCGTGTTATTTTGTAAAACACTACACATCATCATCATCATCATCACCATGAATTCTGTTTCAAACTTTCGATCAGGATCCGTGTCATGAGAGTTTCACTAGTTTAGTTCTTGCTGCCAACATGATGTAACCCTCCTTTATCTGGGCTTGGGACCAGCAGTGTAAGACAAGCTCACATTGGTGGAGTGTATTTAATGGGAAAAAAATAGCTAAAATTCTCAATCAAACCAATACGAGTGAAAGAAGATATAAGAGGAAAACAAGAGCATATGTTTGCTGAGCACCTGAGACACTCTATTTACTTCCTGCAAGGTTATGTCCTTCCCTCCAGTAATATTATACACAACTCCAGTAGCAGATTGGATTGATGATCCAATTAGAGGAGCCAAAGTTGCTTGTTCAGCTGCTTCTTCTGCACGGTTCTTGCTGGAGGAAACGCCTACTCCAAGCATTGCAGTTCCAGAGTCTTTCATGACTGCCTTCACATCTGCAAAATCCACATTTACCAGTCCAGGTATCTGCAGAATAAGGAAGTAAGATTCCAACTTACAGAATGTACACAAGGAAGTCTTCATAAGATGGCATGGTTTTCATAAACCACTCACAGTGATGATGTCGGAAATTCCTTGGACTCCTTGGCGCAAAACATCATCTGCTAGGAGAAAAGCATCCTGGAGAGGTGTCTGTTCATCAGCAATATCCAACAAACGGTCATTTGGGATCACAATAAGAGTATCGACATTTCTTTGTAATTTCTCAATAGCCTCCAGTGCCTGAGTGAAATGCAAATAAAAGACATTGTTAGCACATTGAAAGAAACTAGATTAAACGAATACTACTGCAATATTGAACTGTCCAATTCTCAGTATTATAACTGCAAAAGATGCACCCAATCAATTGGACAAACAAGGACATCTCTCAGGCGAAAAAATGATAAATGAAGATGAGTGAGATCGTTCAAGCAAAAGGCTTGATTCTCTAATTTTTTTTGATAAGTGACTTGATTCTCTAAATTCTGTTAATTAACTCACAAAATGAAAGTGGCAGAAGGTTAGGATCTGATTTTAGTAACCCTGTGAACTAGTGCTGTTAATTTTTAGCCACCTTACTATCATATGACAATCTCCTTTACAGCAAAAAGTTCTGCAGTAGTAAAATCACCAAAGCCAATTAGCCCGGAAAATGGAGCCATAATGCCTCCACTTAAAGCCTTTTAGTTTATGGTGACTAAGAGGGAGTTAATGAGTGTTGGTGATAAAATAGTCGGTCATTAACTAATGCAGTTAGTGAAAGCAAGATGAACAAGAGGGACTTTATGAGCATTAATCTGAGTTTATGATTTAATAAACTTTTTTCTTTCCAAACTCTATTTCATCTGTCTCTACTATTAGAGAGAAATAATAATAATCATTATCCAGTGCAAACTGTCCAAGTAAGGTGGCGTTTGATAAATCTGAAATCTGAAAAGCTAAAAATGTATTATGTGTCTAAAATCTGAAAAGAAGCAGGTGCTTTTCTACTTTTTAGAGGCTCTGAATCCATAATTTGTGCTGGATCAACCCTTTACCATCTGAAGTTCATTGATTTTACTATTTTACCCCTAAAACATACTATTTGGAAATGTTGAGTGCAATTCGCATTATCTCATAAAAAATAATTTTCAACTTCAAAATAATATTGAAACAATAGAAATAATAAATAACAAATTAAAAAAAAATAATTAATGACTATAAAAATATTAAAATAATTAACAATTTACACCAATAAAAATTAAATAATTTTTAGAAGTTAATGAAATAATTAAAAATTACTAGTTAATAAAAACAATTAATAATTAATAAATAACACAAGTAAAATTAATTATTATTATTACTCACCCTCTTGAGAGAGAGAACCACCGTCGTTGCAAGTTAAAGCAGCGGTGGCAGGAAGACAGAAGAGAGAGAGAGAGAGAGAGACGTTGCTGCAAGTTGCAGCAAGAGAGAGAGAACCGCCACTGCTAAGAGTTGTAGCAGTGGTGGTGGGAAGATGAGAGAGAGAGAGAGACGGGCCTGAGTTTTAAAATTTCAGATCTAAAAAAAAAAACTTTTCAGATCATATTTCAGATGCAACACCAAATAAGCATTGCATCTGAAAAGTAGACATTTCAAATTCAGACGTCTGAAAAGTGTTATCAAACGCCACCTAAGATGAACAGGAAGGAGTTAATGAGTGTTGAACCGAATTTATGATTTCGTACTCTTTTTCCATAATACTCTTATCTCCCCTCCTCCCTGGGCTTGTGTGTTTAATTAAACAACCACTGCACCTTTCAGAATTCTTTTTTGATCAGCAACTTTTAAGAAAAATTAGTGATGCAATGTTAAGGGCCCACGAATAGGATCTCGTCACAGGTCGGTTACTGGGGAAAACCTCTTGTTTTCCCTTGTTTCTCCCTTTTCTCGAGGAGCCTATCTTTAGCACCTTAATGGTGATTTTTAAAAGAGATCACCAACTCTCCTCTGCTCTTTCTTGACTGAAAATTTCGATAATTTCATTGAATATCATCTACTCCTTTAAATAGGAGATTACAAGAAGATAAGAGTCCTTCTTTAGGAAGACTTCCTAACAACATTTATCTTTAAATGCTATTGCCTAATTAATAGGAACACTGGATTTAGCTAAGAGATAAGATAGAAACAGATAAGATAAGAACAGTGAATCTAGCTACAAATAAGATAGGAACACTGAATCTAGCTAAGAGATAAGATAGGACACTAAATCTAGTTAACAGATAAGATAGGAACAGAGATAAGATAAGGACACTGAATCTAGCTATTAGATAAGATAGGAACAGAGATAAGATAGGGACACTGAATCTAGCTAACAAATAAGATAGGAACACTGAATCTTGCACCCATTACTGTTGCTGGAACATTGAATCTTGCGCCTATTACTACTGCTATTTTCGGTTGTATTTCTTCCCAATAAAAGCATCCACAACATTACTCCCCTCCTGAACTAAGAGCTTGTCCTCAAGCTCGAATTCAGGATAGGTGTCTTGAAACTCAATCAAAGGAATCTAGGTAGCTTCAGCCAATGGTAAGCTGGCCCATTCCACCTGAACTTCAACAACACCTCGATTAATTCTGGAACGAACAATAGACTGAGGTTGGGGAATGATTTTGCCCTCCTTCAAAGGTGGTAAGGAGGGAACACTGATAGAAGGAACACCCTTGAACGGCTTGAGCAAGGAAATGTGGAAAACATCATGAATCCTATTGTGTTTTGGAAGTTCCAGCTTATATGCAACCGCACCAATTCGCTACAAAACCTTGAAAGGCCCATAGAACTTAGGAGCTAATTTAGGAATAGCCCTGTGACTCAAGGAGCGCTGGCGATAAGGCTGAAGTTTCAACCAAACAAACTGCCCAGGTTCAAACGACAATTCCCAATGATGTTGGTCATAGGCATGCTTCATGCGGAGTTGTGCCTATTGTAAAGGAAGAGAAATGTCAGCCAAGAGAGCACCTCGCTCTTGTAGGGAACGATCAATCTCCTCCAAACGAGTAGAACCAGGTTCATAGGACAACAAACGAGGAGGTTTACAGCCATAGACAACTCGGAAGGGTGTCATTCCTAAAGAAGAATGATAGGCAGTGTTATAACAATACTCGGCCCAAGGAAGCCAATCAACCCACCGTCTCAGTTGATCCCCAACAAAGCAACGGAGATACATTTCAATCGTTCGATTCACCACCTTAGTTTGACYATCTGATTGAGGATGATAAGCGGAAGAAAAGGCTAAGGTGGCACCATTTAACCGAAACAATTCCCTCCAGAAGGTACTAGTAAAAACCGGGTCCCTGTCACTGACAATAGATTCCGATAGCCTGTGTAAACGAAAAATGTGAGTGAAAAAGACATGGGCAACAGAAGTAGTGTTGTACAGATGAGAAAGAGGGATGAAATGGGCGTACTTAGAGAAGTGATCCACCACTACATAAAGAAATGATTTTCCCCCAACCTTGGGCAATCCCTCTATGAAATCCATGGAAATATCAACCCATATCTGCGTTGGGATTGAAAGGGGCTGAAGAAGACCAGCTGGATGCAGATTTTCCCATTTGTGTTGTTGACAAGTAGAGCAGTTTTGTATAAAGTCCCTAATAGAAGCCTTCATACCTTGCCAATGGAAATCAGCTTGGACGCGATACAGTGTCTTCTGAATACCTTCATGGGTGGAGTTATGAATAATGGAGATGATGGAGGGAATCAAAGAGGAATCAGCCGGGAGATATATCCAACCTTTATACATCACAAGCCCGTCTGTAAGGGTCCAATTGGAGTCTGCAGCTCCAGACTGAATTTTCTGAACAAGAGTGATCCACTCTGTTGATTGTGGCATCTCTTTCTTGATGTCATCCAATAAGGTGACTCGAGGACGTGAAATCCCACAAAGGAGCATAGTGTCCTCTTCGCCCTAGACAATGCATCTGCGGCGCAATTTAAAGATCCCGCCTTGTAATCCACCCGGAAATCAAACCCAAGCAGCTTGTTAACCCAATGTTGTTGGGGAGAAGTGACAAGTCGCTGCTCCAACAAGTACTTGAGGCTATAGTGATCAGTTTTGACAACAAATGATCTTCCCCACAAGTATGGCCTCCAATGTTGGACTGCTCTAGCTAACCCAATCAATTCGCGTTCATAGGCTGGCAATTTCAAATGACACAGCTAGTTTATGGCTGAAGAAAGCAATCGGGTGCCCTTGTTGTTGTAATATGGCGCCAATCCCTATTCGGGATGCATCACACTCAACTGTAAACTCAAGATCAAAGTTCGGTAATTGCAAAACTGGAGTGGTGGAGAGGGCATTCTTTAAATTTGCAAAAGTCGTGCCAGCTGCATTGTCCCAATGAAAGGCATTCTTCCTCAGTAGGTTGGTTAATGGGGCAGCCATCACGCCATAATTCTATACAAATTTGTGGTAATATCCTATCAAACCGAGAAACCCGCGTAGAGCCTTGGCAGAATTGGGCTTGGGCCATTCTTTGATCACTTGAATTTTGGAATTGTCCACTGTTACACCTTTGTCGTTAATGACATGACCCAATTAAAGGACCTGGCGCTCCCCAAAGGAGCACTTGGATCGTTTAAGGAAGAGCTTGTGTTGGCGCAGTAGCTCAAAAACAATCCTCAGATGATGCACATGTTCTATCCATGTTTTACTGTAAACCAAAATGTCATCAAAGAATACTAAAACAAATTTGCGAAGGTGGTAATGAAATACCTCATTCATTAAGGACTGAAATGTGGATGAGGCGTTTGTGAGACTGAACGACATAACTAAAAACTCAAAGTGGCCATGGTGAGTTCAGAAGGCAGTCTTCTCAACGCCTTTGGAAGCCATTCGAACCTGAAAGTACCCCGATCTTAGATCCAGTTTTGTGAAATATTGGGCACCATGAAGTTCATCCAACAACTCGTCCACAATGGAGATAGGGAATTTATCCTTGACGGTTCGGTTATTAAGCTCTCTGTAGTCAACACAAAATCTCCAAGTACCATCCCGCTTTGCCACCAACAGGACCGACGAAGAAAAAGGAGAACGGCTAAGGAGGATGATCCCCTGTTCCATCATTTCATCACATTGCTTTTCTATCTCATCTTTCTGCAGGTGTGGGTAGCGATATGGCCTTACTACTATTGGTTCTGAACCCGTCACCAGAGTGATCTGGTGATCGCAAGCTCGGGAAGGAGGAAGTCCTTTGGGTTCTTGGAACACATATGAAAAATCAGCGAGGAGCCTTTCCATGGCCGTTGCGTGTGTCATTTCATCTTGGATCACATGAACCTGTGGGTATTTATCCTTCACCATGTTACCCTGCCAAGTGACTTGCTTGCCATTCAAGTGGAAGGTCATTGTTAGGGCGCTGAAATCCCATAGGATTGGGCCCAGAGTGATCAATCAGGATCAGTATTGGTTTCCCTGCTACCCGCGCTTGCAATTGCATAGTTTGAGAGGTTTTTATTTCAGTGATTGCGTGGAGAGAAATCCCGGGTTCCAATGAAGAGGGTTCATCCTCATCTTCCTCTTGTTCATCCTCCAGGAGGCAGAAGAGTCTCTTGCACTTGTGCCCTGCTGAGTAAAGTTCATCACAATTAAAACACTATCCCCTCGCCCTAGGTTCTGCCATCTCAGCCCTGGACAAGTGCTTAATAGGGGGTGCAACAACGCTGCTTCCCACACTGGATGCCGATCTGGAATTGTTGCTCGTCTGTGGTTTCTGTTCTCGGCTGGCTGCTGAAGATGGAGCCATTCAGAGTGATTTTGGGGCTGCCCATGCTATTTGAGGTTGCCCTATACTGATACTTCCGCAGTTGAGTTGCAATTTGCGTTCAAAAGCGCGAGCCAAATTCATAGCAGTAACCAGATTGGGGGGATTTTGCATCTCCACATCCACCCTCAAAGTTTCCACTAACCTCGCGGTGAACATGTCAACCTATTGGTCTGGACGTACCGAAGATGCTCTTGCAAGGAGGGTCTGAAACTGACACTAATACTCAGCCACAGTTCCAATCTGTTTGAGGTTGATTAGTTCGCCTAATGGATTGCTTGTTAATGGGGGTCCAAATCTGAGAAGGCAGTAGGATTTGAATTGGGTTCAACTGAGCCCAGGTTCCTCCTGCTCCAATTTATAAAACCAGAGTTGTGCCTCCTCTGTCATGTGGAATGCGGCTAAGCCTACCTTATCCCTGTCCTCTGTCCGTTGGTTGCGGAAGAACTACTCACATCTGTACAGCCATCCCAAAGGATCTCCAGCTCCATTATAGGAAGAGAATTCCAGCCTGCTGTATTTGGGAACAATCACGGTTCCCTGGGTAACAACCTGCTGCTCGCCGGACGATTCTGCCATGTCTGGTCGGCAGCCGTTTGTGGTTGCAGCCCCTTCTAAACTCTTTTCCTTGCTGGAAAAATATAATTCCATCAAGCGCCTCAATTCTCGGACGTCGTCCTTGATCTCGCGCACCTCCTTGTTGTTTTCCACGAGTTTGTGCTCTAGATCATGAACCCTAGTCTTCAATTGCTCAAAGTCACCTATGACGCCCTGCTCTGATACCAAATTGTTAAGGGCCCACGAATAGGATCTCGTCACAGGTCGGTTACCGGGGAAAACCTCTTGTTTTCCCTTGTTTCTCCCTTTTCTCGAGGAACCTATCTTTAGCGCCTTAATGGTGATTTGTTAAAGAGATCACCAACTCTCCTCTACTCTTTCTTGACTGAAAATTTCGATAATTTCAATGAATATCATCTGCTCCTTTAAATAGGAGATTACAAGAAGATAAGAGTCCTTCTTTAGGAAGACTTCCTAACAACATTTATCTTTAAATGCTACTGCCTAATTAATAGGAACACTGAATTTAGCTAAGAGATAAGATAGAAACAGATAAGATAAGAACATTGAATCTAGCTACAGATAAGATAGGAACACTAAATCTAGCTAAGAGATAAGATAGGGACACTGAATCTAGTTAACAGATAAGATAGGAACAGAGATAAAATAGGGACACTGGATCTAGCTAACAGATAAGATAGGAACACTGAATCTTGCGCCTATTACTGTTGCTTTTTGTGGCTGTATTTCTTCCCAATAAAAGCATCCACAACATGCAATTTAAATTTTTCAATATATCATGTTAAAATTAGATTTTTTTTAGATGTAAATCAGAGAATATCATCAAAAACATCATAAAAGGGGGGACATATTTTGATAATTTCTCATAAGAACAAGAAAAATGATAATGTCCCAATGAAGATGCTCTGTTCTACTTAACATCAAGCTCAAAAAAATGGTATAAAGCAACAATGGAAAACTTAAAGAAGTATTGTGGATTCCAGAATAAATTTATGTCTACCCAAATCCCATGCAAAAGAGTCTTAATGATGAAACTAAATAATTTGTGGTCAAGAATATCTAAAGGGGATTACTATTTCACTTGAGTCAAAACAGGTATTCTTTACAACCCAAAACTTCCTATAGGAGATTCCTCCATAGGGAACCAAATATGGTCATATTAGTCCTTCACCTACCTTAAACAAGAGTTGCTAGCCACATACAAAAGAGATACCAGACTGACCTAGATTACCTTTTAACATACAACTGATCAAAAAAGAAAGAAGGGGGAAAACTTCTATCATACAAAGACAACACCCACATGCATGTGCATACACGTGCAGGACAACATTTCTGGCAGCCATATTATTATGCTGCATATGAAATTTGAGCATGCAATGATTGTACAAGCATGTAATTACGTGCAATAGGCTAAGGCTGGGAGTTCATTCGCTTTCCATATGGAAAAAATGCATTAAATCTAATGCTATCAAATTTCTTTAGACACAACTCCAGTCAAACATAAGACTTCTATAGCTGCTTAAAACTTTTTGTTGATCTTATATTTATGTCAAAAATACCTTTCATTCAGTTCAGTCCAAACACCCCATAAAATATAGACAGGAGTAATCTACATGAAATGTTGTCACAGTAAAGGCATCAAATAGGAAATGCAGACTAATATGAGTTTCACTTCCAGCATACTAATATTAAGAACCCAACTTCTGCCAAATTAGTTGAAGAAGAATGACCAAATAAATACAGCCCATTATCTGGATGAAGCTCAAGATCTTCTAGACTCTTTGAATGCAAATCTGTTCTGGATCCCTATACAGTAAATTCTGTAGCAGATTGTTTGGCTAAATCAGGAGCTCACAGGGAATTTTTACACAGTGAGAGAGTTATGCCTTTGTAATCCGTGTGTGAGCTTCCTTTTGTACATATTCTCATGTACCCTTATTTTGTTTAATGAAATTTGTTATCTTTCCTCTAAAAAAAGAATGACCAAATATGAAACGCAATGAGGAATAAGTGGCCTATAGATTCTAAGTCCATTCTACAGATACATCAGGTATTGCCTACTTCCTTGAGATCAAGTGAACCACAATAAATATCTTTTGAACAGACAGCCTACAGCAGGAAGAAGGCCCCATTGAATGGAATGGCACAACATGAATAAGCATACTGGCATATGCATAGGTACGTATATTTGACCTTATTTTCCACCCAATTTGTGCGACTGAGTATGTATACAAGTTTTCTTAAACTTAAATGGATACAAATATGTAACATATTTAATAAATTAGTTGATAAACATACCATGAATTTAAAAGAAGACTAAACTTGCCTGAAGAGATCGTTTACGCCCTTCAAAGCTGAAAGGGTAGGTAACTACACCAACAGTTAGATAACCTGCTTCCTTTGATATCTGAGCAACAACTGGAGCAGCACCAGAACCTGTTCCCCCACCCATCCCTGCTGTGATAAAAACAAGATCTGATCCCTTGAGAGCACTAGCAATGGTCTCTTTTGATTCCTCTGCAGCCTGCTCCCCAAGAAGTGGATTCCCACCAGTACCTGCATCTCTATTAACCGCTTCAGATCAAGGGAATACAAAGCAATGACCATGGAGATCTAGAAAGAAAGAGGCCTTTTTTATACTGTTGATTTACCAGAATATTTACAGAATATATAAACTGTCTAAAATATTCTTAAAAATAAGATATTTGAGAACTTCTTAGGTAAAAAATTGACAGTAACTGACCTAGTCCACGAGTCAAAAGCTCCCCAATTTGAAGTGGATTCTTGGCAGCAGACTGCAATAATGCCTGAGCATCGGTGTTTATGGCATAAAATTCAACACCCTAGTACCAAAAGCATGTGGCATTAAAATAAATAACTTGTTAAATTCTAGAAAAAAAGACGCGAGCGCAAACAACAACACAATCACGGGAAAACAGGAACGGGTATCTTACATTTCTATGGACATGGAAAGAACAAAAACAAAACAACAAAGAATGGGGAAATTTGAAAAAGAAAATGCAAAATTGAGAGAATTACTCAAACCCAACAAGAAAACCAAAGCAACACAAAATGCGAGAAACCTACCTGTAATCCGCTTCCAATCATCCGATTAACAGCATTGTTTCCCCCTCCACCAACACCCACTACCTTAATCTTGGCCGAATCCATGGAAGAAAATGCAGAAGAGCAGCAGACGCCAAAATCGCTTGGGCTCCATGACCTCCTTCGACGAGCTCTTGGAGAGAATCCAATGTGAAAACCATTGTTGAAGAGCTTCTTCTGAAGGAACCCAACAGAAATCGAAGAAGATGAAGCCAACTGAGTAGGGCTTGTGAGGTGCAGCGTAGCCATGAGCTTAAGGCCAAACACCTTTCCTTCTTTTCCTTTTTTCGTGTTTTTTACTCTCCTAGACCGAGTGAGAGTTGAGACTGGAGCAGTGAACTTTGAGGTTTGGTTTTCTTTGGGCTTTAGGACCGGAAAATGAGAGCAAGACGCTTGGTCCGATGTGGCCAAATGGGTGGTTACGTCACAGATCTGAACCGCTGGCCTGAGCATTTGGGCCGCAGATATTGACAAGAGTTTTATTGCAAACAACATTCGGCACTAACACTCTCCTACAGTCAGTGAGTCCTGTGACCTGAGTCTGGATTGCGTGAAACCAGAACGCCACACAGGCGTAACACTCAGTAGGCCAGTAACCCACTCAGAAGTAGACACCTCGTTTCATTACATCAGGAAGTAAATAGTCATTTGCTATATAGATCTTGCTTGCAACAGAACGAAGGGTAAACTCCAGAAACCCCTCTGAAAGACTGAACTAATGCGAGCTGTGTTATTTTAGCTCAGTTTGTGATGAGTGCAAATACAAAAATATTGAAATATGTATAGTATTTCTTCTAAGCCTTGTATACAGTGTTTTTAAACTTTGTATTTACATTGGACATAATTATATCAGCAGTCTTTTCAATCTTTAGAGCCTAAGGCCCAGTTTGGAAATAATATAAAATACATAGGTTTACATTCTACATATTTGTATTTATACTTTTATCAAATTCAGCAGTTTGGAAAGAGTACAAATACAAATATGTACAAAATAATACAAAATATAATGTTTTACACTATACAAATTTGTATTTATACTCCTTTCAAGGCTCAATTTGGAAATAATACAAATACAAATATATACAGTGTAAATACATATAACATAATATAAAATATAAGGTTTTGTATTTTATATATTTGTATTCTCACAAGGCTCAGTTTGGAAGGGGTACAAACATAAATATGTAGAGTATAAAACTTTGTATTTTGTATGTATTTATATTATACATATTTGTATTTGTATTTGCTTTCAAACTGAGCCTAAAGATTAATTTGAAAAAATATAAATATAAATATATACAATACAAGCACATACAAAATAATACAAAATATAAGGTTTGCATTGTACATATTTGTATTTGTACTCCTTCCAAACTGAGTGTAGGTTCAATTTGGAAGGAGTATGAAAATAAATTTGTAGAGCCCAAAACCTTATATTTTGTATGTATTTGCAGTTTTGCATTCTACATATTTATATTTATACTCTTTCCAAACTGACCATAAACTACAAAAAGTTTCAAATGCACCCCAAGCTTTCAAGTGTATAACTACCTCTTCAATCCCTTTGTGAGTATAATGGGTGGAAAATAATAATGTGTGCAGTATGTAACCTTTTAAGTTTGTCAAAATACCCAAATTATCCTTTTAAATATCTTTTCCCTTATCTTCTTAGGAGATTTTTTTTTCTTTTAAGTAAGTCATCAGCATGGACATTTTCACTTATCATATATGAATTGCATCTTTAGTATGGCCTATATGCCCTCATAGACCTGAAAATCAAGAAAAAGGAACTTAATTTTAATGAAAGTATATAAATGAAGGAGAACAAAACCCTACAACATGTGCCAAACCAATGGGGTAATAAAATCATTTTTCTCATGCCATTATGGATGCTTACCATGTAAAAGTTTAGGGGATATTTGAAACTTTTCATAGTTTAGGTAGTAAAATGATAATCCCCAGTAGTTAGGCCATGTTTGGTTCAATTCTCATTATTTTTCATTCTTACACAAGATGAAATTTTAAAATGGAAAAGAATGAGTAAAAATAGGTAAAATGAGAAAATATTGTTATGAACCAAACACTTTTTTCCTATAGATGAATTCATTTCAAATTGATAAGTGTCCTATGTTGCTCATTTTCATTCTTCAAAAAAAAATAAAAATTGTGCCAATATTCACAAACCACCAACCTAGGTCTCCAATAGTCAATGTTTACCAATTGGCATAGATGTTTTATAAAAGTACTTTTGCAAAAGTAGTTTTGTAAAAGTACGTTTGCAAAAATACTTTTATAAAAGTACTTTTTCTAAAAGTGCTTTTATACTTTCATAAAAATGCTTTCATAAAAGTACTTTTGCAAAAGTACTTCCATAAAAGTACTTTTGTAAAAATGCTTTCATAAAAGTACTATAAAAGTTTCATAAAAGTGCTTTTGTAAAAGTACTTCCACAAAAGTTCTTTTATAAAAGTACTTCCATAAAAGTGTTTTTATAAAAGTACTTCGTAAAAGTGCTTTCGTAAAAGTGTTTTCATAAAATTACTTTCATAAAAGTGCTTTTATAAAAATACTTTCATAAAAGTGCTTTCGTAAAAGTACTTCCATAAAAGTGATTTTATAAAAGCACTGTAAAAGTGTTTTCATAAGAGTGCTTCCATAAAAGTGTTTTCATGTAAAAGTACTTTTTTAAAAGTGCTTTCATAAAAGTATTTTTGTAAAAGTGTTTTTGCAAAAGTAAACATCTACGACAACAGTTTTATAGGTAGAGTATCCTCAAATAATGAAATGAACAAGATGGGGTATGATTATTTTTCATGCTGAAGGCTAGTCAATTTTTGTGCCATGGGGGTGATTTTTCATTCTAAAAGGAATGTGGCCTTGGGCAAGAATTTTTTAACCAAACACTCTAATGTTATTCATTTTTCCCCATTTTTGCCTAGAATGAGCAAGAATTAAGAGAATGAGGTCCATGGTAGTGAACAAAACATGGCCTAAGCATATTTATCTTTCTCTGGAGCGTTGTAACTAAATTCTTTTAATCTAATCAATTATAGTTACTGATAAAAAAGAATGACACCCCCAATAGTTGAGGGGATTTTTAGAGTTAACCCTAATATGAATTGCTAACATGTTTATTTCTAATTGAGGATTGTGTCACACATTTTGGTTGTGTTTGGTACTATTGATGTTTTTACTGAAACATTTTGGCATACAACTATTATTTAAAGTTGTTTATAGTTGAAACATGCAACAACTTTAAAAAAGCATGGGTGGGAAGCTATTTGTGGAAATGTCAAATTGGCGCTTCAGGTAGAAACATCAATATTACTAAATTTAGGGGTGTCTATTGGACTGGATTTGTCTATTGGACTGGATTTGGTCTAATCCAATTTAGTCCACTATGAGTCTATTATAGATGGATTAGGTCCAATCCAATTCAATGAATACTTTGGACTATTTTGGATCGGTCCAATTCAATGTATGGACCATGTAATTTGTTCAAATTGGTTTTAATTTAAATCGGTTCCAACCCAAACCTGGTCCATTGACACCAATATTCTTATCTTTTATTAATGAACCGGATTTTGATTCAATCTGACCCAATCTAATATATAAATCCGTTACACATGAACTAGGTCCAAATCCAATCCAATAAATACTTCGGACCATTAAGTCTAGATTGGTCCAATTCAATGTGTCTCATTGGCCCATCCAATCTATACAAATTGATTTTGATTTGGATGGATCCAATCCAAAACAAGTCCATTGACACCCTTAGCGCTAATCATTCTAAGTCAAGTGACTCTCATATATGATGTGACACCACTTATCTCTTAGCAATTTGTATTGATTATGTGATAAATGTGTTTGGAGAGAAGAGTTGATCAGGCATTCTTTTTTAATTTTGGAAACAAAAAAAAAAAAAAAAAATCTTATTAATGATCACTAGAGGGGAAAATGACCTGACCCTTAATATTGTCTTTCCCTTCTTTTCTCTACTTTTCCTTCAAACCAAACATAGCCTAAAGGATACACTACAATAAAAGGCTTAAAACAAAAAAACAATGGCCGAAAATACTATAAAAGGCTTAAAACCTTTGTTTGGTCTTAAACACCTACCAACTTCTGTTTGTGTTGTAGGAGTCAAAGTAACTTCTTCCACATTGGACTTGCATGCAATATTTCTTGTTCTCCATCGTTATCCAACCTTGATTATGCTCTTCCTTTTTCATAACTGAAATCTCTGGTTCTGAACTTTTTCTTGTAGAATGAACAACATCTTTGTCACGAATTTGATTCTCCACATCTGGTATGAATGAACAATTTTTTTGAAGGAAGGACAATGGCGAATAACATGACACCAACGTGTTTGGATCTACAATAAGAAATTGCAGCGATGCTTTGAAAACATTTTCCTTGTCCTTTTTATGGCAAGATGTACCTGATTTATGACTGCAATGTCTTATTGAGATGTTGTTGGGATCAGATCGGGACTCAACACCCCACCCCCGGTCATTTGAAATACAGACTGACCTAATGCAGATTTCTGAATTCTCTTACAAATCTATAAACATTCAAAAAGTCAAAAATCCACACTTTATGCATTTATATTTGCCTGTAAATTGGCATCAATTTCCAGCTGGCACCTACTCCAACTGTACTTTGGGCTAATAAATTCTAAACCTAGGCTGAACAGTCATTCTCCCTTGAAAATAATGTTCATGATTATGATTAAACTAAGAGGCTAAGACCTTTTTATGATTTTCAACTCTAACCTATATTGACCACTACTGTTGGACTTAGATTGGATGGGATAATCAAATCTATGAGTTTTATTTCCTTGTTGTTAATCCACTTGGGATTGTCATGCCATCTTTTGTTAGTTCGTAATTAAGTTTAATTATCAAAAAAAGAAAAAACTCAGTGTATAAGCAAAATTTTTAGGCCCAAAGTACAGTTGAGGTAGGTGCCAGCCCGGAATTGATGTCATAGAGTGGGGTTTTTGACATTTTGAATGTTTATAGCTCTGCAGTGGAATTCAGAAATCTGAATTGGGTCTGTCTATACTTTTCCGAAAAAAAAAAACTAGAGATAAGTGAACTACAATCCTCCTCAAAAATCTGAATTATAACCCCCTCCTAGTCCACTAATAGCCTCTCCCTATAAATTGCATCCTACCAATTAATTTGACATCAATCCATGGGCAGGATTCAATCCACCTCTAGAAATCTTAGCTCCACCCTAGGAGTGGACTGAACCATAAACACCCCAAAAAACTATTGCCTCCCCCTTCCATATGTGATTTGCTGTTTCATTTTTCCACAAAGTAAAGAGGAATACGAGAGTCCGGATGCCGTTGCAGACCATGAAGTCTCCAAGGAAACATGTAAGAGCAGGCACCCTTAATGAGAATTATTCCACACTGGGTCTCTGTTTTTCATTCAAATAAATAGTTGGTTTTCTACTAGAGAAGCTATAAATTAAACTGTGAAAGCTCTTCTATGACTTGATTAAGTTGCGAAGTCTTGTGAAATTCCGAAACGAATTTCTGACTTTGCTTGAAAATGAAATATCGATTCATTTTTAACGCTCAGGGAAGTATGACAAAGTATAGAATACATATTTCAAAATTCGGGATTGGTTGAAATTAATTGGCTTTGTTCATAGCTATCCTATCCTTAATAGATACTGAGAAATCATCCTTCTTTTTATCTTTTTCAGAAGTTGGCCTGGCGGTAAGAGAATCAATACTGCTCTAATTCAGCATCAAACAACAACAAGCAATCCTTAAAATGATAGCAACAGAAAATCAAAAACCCCAGTGAAGAGCCTAGGACGACCCCAATGATGGGCGGTAATTGTTTTACTATAAAAACATTCATGCATCGCCAATAAATTTGTTGAATGTAAAATACTTGAAGAAAACTGGTAAAATGGAATAATATATATAACAACTGAAGAAAGAAAGAGAACAATCAATTCAAACAGCGATTTTAGCCGATTCCCATTCGACAGGTAAGAATCCCAATCCATTTTCCATGCATGGCGAGCATCGTCTGTTTGGTTTCTGCTTTGAATTCCTCCAAGTCCACCGTCCCACTGGAGTGGTGATCGAATATGCCAAACAGGGCACGGTAGGCAATAGCTAGATCGTCGGGGTCCGTCTTGACGTACGTCGATTCTGAAGTGGGTCTCGAAAACCCTGAGGCTCTCTGGAGCTCCTTCACCATCTCCGGGTAGGAGTGTAGACCATCATGGCCGGTCTGTGTCGAGACGAGAGAAGCGGTCATGAACCCAGAGTTCGAAGGCCTCGGCGTCCTCCACGAAGCCAAAAATGGTTGCACCATCCAATAATTATACGCTCATTTTTCTTCTCTATGGTTGGAAGATGTTTAGCTGCCTAATTCACCAAATCGACCAGGTTGAGAAGATTTGACATAATTTGATATAAAAGCATTATTCTTGGGACTTTTCACCTTTGTTTGGGTCTGGATAATACAGTAGCCATTCATAGTCTCGTGGACATTTGTACAAAAGCTCCTCCTATTAAACTTTGAAAATTAGAAGAACTTCAACAAACATTACTCTGCTCTAGATAATGTCAGACTGCCAGTGTCTGTACATGGACATTGCGAATGAATTATTGATCATTTAATTTGCTTGATGGAAATTGGAAAGGAGGGATAATCCGACATCTCTAGCTATCGATCTTATCATCAAAGGAAGTTTTCCTTTTGATTTTCTCATTTCAAAAACATTACTACATACGTCCATTTAATTTCTTCGTTAGGAAGAAAGAACTTGAACCAGAAAAATAAAAAGAAAAGAAAAGAAAAAAAGTAAAAAACTGCTTGGGACGAAGGCACAGAGAATTAATATATATTGAACATAAGATTATATGAGGAAGAATTCAAGCAGCAGCAACTTTGGAAGACTCCCATTCAACAGCTTTTTTTAGGAAGCTGTCCTCCTCAAGGACCATTTGGACAGGCAAAAATCCGAGGCCATTTGCCATGGCAAGCATCATCCGCTTAGTCTCCGCCTTGAATTCCTCCACATCGACAGCCCCGTTGGAGTCATGATCGAACTGGACAAAAATGGACCTATAGACTGCAGCAAGCTCATCTGGGTCTGTCTTGTCATCGATTCCAAAATGGGTTTCCAACACCCGGAGGCTCTGAAGCTCCTTCGTCATCTCTGTATAGGACAGTAAACCGTCGTGGTTTGTGTCCAAACGAGCAAATCGGTCATGAACCACACCTTCGAAGGCCTTCTCATCCTCGATGAAGTTGACGATGGTGGCGCTGTCCAGAACCTCTACACTCATCTTCTCTCTAAGTTGTCCAACACAAGCTTTAATTTCTGAAAGATGGAAAATACGAGAATCAAGTAGAAGAATTAATGTTTTTGCTTTGAATACAAGGAGATTCAGTTTGGTGTTTGATTTATAAATAGGTAGTTGCAGTTAGGCTGTTTATCTCCCTCTGTTTTGTGTTTTCCAGCATGGGTACGGGATATCTCTCGTTTCTTCATTTCCAACTTGTAGAATTTGATTCTCTGTACGCGTAGTGATGACTAACGACTTTTTCTGAGTTGCGAGTAAATGCACTCCGGAAAAAAAAACGTTGAAATCCATGACTAAGCTAGCTTCCTCTTCCAAACGCGTAGTCAACAAACGCTCTGTCGAAAAAAAAAACCCTTTGCCGAAGAAAACCGGATCCGTAGCTTCCATATTTACAAAAACTTCATTTTCCTCTCATTCATTGCAACTTTGCAAGGAAATGGGTTCTGCTATTAAACAGGGTATCGCCAAGAAAATTCTTAGTTTTCTTTTTTTTTCTTGGACCAATTTTTAAACTCTAATCCACTTTAGGATACTTATGCTAAGTTTTGGAGTACTTAAAAATAAATGCTTAGTCCAATAATCATTTTTTTTATCAGCACCATGATAATCACTTATTTGCATTTCAAAAGTAAGCCCAAATAAGTACTTACTCCTTATTTCCTTTTCTGGCCTGTCTTGACCTGTTACATCATTTTAAAAATACCTATGCTACCTCTATTTTAAATAAGTGATTTTTTATCAAACGCTCACGAGTATTTATTAGAATAAGCACTTATTTTTCAAATAAGCATGCACAAATTTTGCCTTTAAAATATGTAAGAAAACATCATCACTTAAATTTTAATTTTCAAATTTTAAACAGTCTAAATGTATATATGGATCATACTAAAAAAATACACAACATAAATATCATATTATACAAGAAATATGTAACATATATACAAGAAGGAAAAAAAGTTTGTGCATAGTTTGGTATATATTGTGACAAAAAAACTTCTGTTAAACAGAGATGTATTACAAATTGTAAATGGTTTAGAGCAATATACAGACATATACATATAAATTAAACATAGCTTATCAATATGAAAATATAATTATATTTAACTTTGTAAAACACATTTCAAAATAAAGCATTTTATATTTTAACATTGTATATTTTTTAATTCTTATGCCATGCAGTCCCAAATTGGAATTAAATGTGAAAAGTTGGCCTAGGTACTTTTCCCTAGTTTTTTTTTTTCTTTTTTGGGTAGAGAATTCATAGTTCACTCATATATGTTATTTGTTTGTTACACGGAGCACGTCCATTTGGTACTGTGGGATCTGAAAACACATCCATAAAAGATGTTACATAGTCGCATTCGAATTCAGGCTGTGTTTGGAGGAAGCAACAACTATATTATGTGCATTTCCCACATTGTTTCCCCTGGATGAACAGTGAAGATTGGAGAACATCAACAGTGAAGAACAGAGGTATTATTCTTACTAATCTGAACCGAAACTTCCTTCATAATTTAAAAAGAAGCAGTTGCTTTATTTCTCCCGAAGGACTCATACATGGCTTTAATTCGTTCCCTTGAGCAAATCTAGAAAAGAAGGAAAAAAGAAAGACGCCAGTCGTCTTTGGACAAGAGACAGAGGAAAAAAAATATATAAATTAAAGAAAGATTTAACTTAAGCAGCAGCTTGGGCCAACTTCCGTTCCACAGCTTTCCTTAGTAAGCTGTCCTCTTCCAGGACCATTTGCACAGGCAAAAATCCGAGCCCATTTGCCATGGCGAGCATCATCCTCTTAGTCTCTGCTTTGAATTCCTCCAAATCAACTGCCCCATTGGAATCATGATCAAACTGGACAAAGAGAGAATGGTGGACAGCAGCAAGCTCATCTGGGTCTGTCTTGACATCGATGCCAAAGTGGGTCTCAAAGACCCTGAGGCTCTGAATCTCCTTCACTATCTCTGCGTAGGACAGCAACCCATCGTGGTCTGTGTCAAGATAAGCAAAACGATCGTGAACTGAACCCTCAAAGGCCTTTTCATCCTCTACAAAGTTGAGAATAGTGGCACCATCCAACAATTCTACACTCATTTTCTCTTCTAAATTTCTGTTACAAAAGCTGCTTACTAGCTCTAAGCCTTAAACCGAAGACCAAGTAGAAGATTCTTGTTCTTTAGTAAAAGGTGAGCTGGGTTTGAGTTTATTTATAGGTGTGGGCAAACAGAAGAACGCACTACTAAAAGTGGCGTATTTATGAGAATTGTTGCTCGTTGCTTCTCTTGGGTTGGTTTTAATTACCAATATATTGAAGAGAAAAAGTCTAAAACACGTCAAGTCCCTGCGCAAGCTCTAAAACAACAAAACCCACAGACTTCCATGATTCTATCCGCAGCCCGTTTGGGAGGGCTTTACCGCTGATTGAGTTTCTTTGACTGAACGGCTTCGAAGAAACACGGGAAAGTCAAATTCTCAGCTTTAACATTTCACTTCTCCTTTGAGTTTCGGAAATTAATTAATTATATCTTTGTTTCAGTATTGTTATTTTTTATAATTGATTAATTCTACCCTTATCTGGTCTCTCTTTCTCCCACAACCTCCACTCTCCCCTGTTCCACCGTCCGCCTCTAGTCTCTCTCCTTATTCTCTATTCTCAGATCCCCCTCCTCTACCAACAACAATGCCACCTCCTAAACCTTCTTGATGAGGGCGGATTTGGCCCTCCACTGACATGGTGATACATGGAACATCAGAACAAATAGGTGACACTCGGAACTATTTAGGCAATAATTTGCCTTAACCAAGTTGATGGTGTCCCACCAGGCGGCCTGACCCAGGCGCGACCTAGCACCCTGGCCCTGGCGGCTTGGCCCAGACACAAACTGGCGGCCTAGCCCAGGTGTGACTTGACGACCTGGCACGGGAGCCGAATTGGCGACCTATGAGACGTGCTCACCGACAAATTCGGCATGCATATCCTAACACTCCCACAATCCTTGGAAGTTGGCCCACGTGTCGAATGATCCGGAGGGTGATCCACGTGCATGGCGGTTACCTCAGGGAATCTCAGACCACTTAGACGACTTCTCGGAAATCTTGGATGCGGTGCGTGAAGCCCACACTAAACTATGCCTATATAAAGGCACCAACCCCAATGGCATAGGGGGGGGGGGGGCAAGTAAGCATATTCTAGCTCTCATACTTTGTGATTTTAAGCTCGCAGTCTACTATGAGAGTACTGACTTAAGCATCGGAGCAACCTCGCCGGGTTAGCCACCTCGGGTCCTTTGACATTGGTTCCTCGCAGGTCTCTAAAGAACTATGAAGCTCAACAATCAATCCAGCTCGACACTCTGGTCAGCTCGGCACCCAATAGGCAGCTCGACACTAATAGGCAACTCGACACTAATAGGCAGCTCGACAACTAATAGGCAGCTTGGCCCTCTGGTCAGCTTGACACCGAATAGGCAGTTCGACACTCTGGTCAGCTCATACCTAACCTGCCTAGCTCGGTCCAGTCAACTCATCATCTAATCTGCCTAGCTCGACCCAATCAGTTTGGCACCTAACCTGCCCAGCTCGACCCAGTTAACTCGGCACCTAATCTGTCCCCAGCTTGGCCTGGACAACTCAACATCCAGGTCCTCATCCAGCAAAATTTCACTTTAGCCTCTGAGTCATCGGTCACTTGAAAGCATATCAAATGACAAGGTACTTAGCACAAAAAATTGATTCATTACTTCTTATTTCTAAAACTAAAAATTCGAATAATGAGAATTTGAAGGAAATCATAAAGGAAAGCGCAAAAGTCTACTAAAAGGACAACGGGTTCGAAGAGGTTCTCTATACCCTCACTGGGGTGACTGATTCCATGAAAGGTGGGATTGGTTTGATCTTGAACGATGTTTCTGAGTCGACTTCAAAAGGGTCGCCGGTTTGTATGTTGCAATGGATTGTGAAAGATGTCAACTCTATCGATGCTCTCTAGGTACTAATTCTACCACTATCTTTCCCATGTACCACCTCAACAGTGTCCATTCCTTGTAGTTTCTGCATAATGGATAACTAAAGCTGTAGATGGGTCATTTCGTCTTCATTCTACACCCAAATTGATAATGTAATCAATCTTACATACATGCTTTTCTCCTTTTTTTGCAGGTCGAATTAAGCTGCAATTGTGGAGGTCTAACCTACATCGTTTCACTTTATCTTATGAGGCGGTGAGCTTTTTCTGCAAAGTCATGAAGGATCGGATGAAGGAAGACGTCACACGTGCCTCTGGCCCTCTGGTCTCAGACCTCCCCCTCCCCCTCCGCCTCTGCTCTGCTCTCTCTCCCCTTCCTCCTTTTCCGTTCTCCGTTCTCAGACCTCCCCCTTCTGCCTCTGGCCTCTCTCTCTCCCCTTCTTCTTTCTCTATTCTCAGACCTCCCCTTACGCCTCTGGTCTCTCTCTCTCTCTTTCTCTCTCCCCTACGACCTCTGCTCTCCCCTGTTCCACTGTTCACCTATGGTATCTCCCTCTCCTTTTTCCATTCTCAGATCTCTCCCTCCGCCTCTGGTCTTTCTCTCCTTTCTCCGTTCTCAGATCTCCCCCTCCCCCTTTGGTCTCTCTCTCTCTCTCCCACAACCTCCATTCTCCCCTGTTCCACCCATCAAGCATGAAATACCCATCAACCTCTCAATGGATTCGAGGTTAAGCTTCACATCTTGATTTGTACACTTAAAGGATATGGTGGAGAGATCACTTGTTCCTAGGAGGACTATGTAGGGAAAATGGGGAAAATAGGCTTTATCGTCTCCCTCCCGGAGAGACTTGGTAATGTGATGACCAGCGCTTGATCCACATCAAGGGTGAAGGTTGGGTCCAATATGCAAGAGACTTTGCCGAAAAATGTCTAGGCAATGAAGTCCCCCCATGATGGGCAAAATAGTCTTTTTATTCCTTTTGTCAATGGACACTAATGGTAAGATTTAGTTGATTGTCAAAAACCGTAGAGGTACTTTAAGACAATACCGAAATAGTAGGGGTATAGTTAATCAATTTCCTAAACCTTGGGGTAATTTAAGAAAATTGCCCTTAAATTTATCTTGAACCTTTCACCCCGTACGGAATTTATCATTAAGTCTTCGTTCGCTTTTCGGTAAATTACTTACCTGGGTAAATGCACTTATCCAAGTAAGTGTTTCCCAGGAAAGATTTATCCAGGTAAGTGCATTTATATTGTTTTATTTCACATGTAAATAAGGTAATTACCATTTTAGTCATAAAAATCTAATATTAAAAGTGGCATTTTTGTTCCATTCAAGTATCGACAACTTTCTGCCTAGGTGAAAAAGTTATTTACCCACCTATACTCAAGAAAATAAATTTGCACTCTGGTTCACTTTTGCTTGTTTGGCAACATTAAACCCCATTTGGTGTGTCATTTCACACGGGCTGTCAGCTTTTTAGAAGCCCGACAGTCCATGTTTTGGTCTTTTCCCATTTGGTTGGGAAAAAATCTAGTTGTTGAAAGCTACAGCCCCAAAAAGATGCAAGAAGCCCATTTTGGGATATTTTAGTGAAGCTCCAAATGGAGCTTTTTGCCTTTTTTTTTAATTCATCTTCGTGCGTAAAGATGTGTGGACAGACGTACCTTAACCAAATGGTCTTTAAGCTATTAAGATCTTGATGCAAAAGCTCATATCGTCCTTTGACTATCAGAGCTTCTAGAAGATCTTTTAGAAAAGACATGCCAAATGGCCCCTATATTTATGTATTGACAAATGACAGACCAATGCATATTTACATTGATAATAAGATATAAAAGTACATCAATAAAAAAGAAATATATTTGCGTTCAAGTGGGCTTTTAATAAAAAAAAAAACATATGCTTTATTGGAATTCATATTTACATCTATTACAACTAAAAATCTAGTAAGAAAATAAATTTACTAGTACAAAACTAATCCAGTTTTATAATTTATATGAACCTTTTTATACTCTACATATTTGCACATATTTGCGTATTCATATATTTGCATCGTTTTCAAACGCAGCCTTAAGATTGGGTATGACGGTCCTGAACCCAGTTTTGTCCGACTAAAGTATAATTTAAAAAAAATCCCGTTACTGACAATTTTCACCTAATCGCCCCTACCGCCCTGTTAGGGTGGGTTTTTTGGTTGAAAACGGGTTTTGGGTCAGGAATAAGTTTTGAGATTTTATAATCCGTATGGGAACGGGTAAGGTACCCCTACCTGACCCTGCATTAAAATTATTAAAATGTTCCTAATGTTTATATTTACTAAAATACGAAACCCATCCGAACATAATCGGTCGAGTCATTGAACAGGAAGAGTTAATTTTGATGTTTATGTTAGTTTGATTGTTTATTGATGTAAATATAACAAGAAACTTTTATTAATATTTTTGCATACAATAAGAAACTTTTATTAAGTTTATTAATTTTTGCAAATTTAAATGTTATTAACTATAAGATACGGGTTCTAAACCCAACCCGCGAGGGGAGAATTTTGCAAATTCAAAAAATCCTCCCCGAACCCGCCCCGTTGCCCACCCTAAAGCGACGGAGTGCAAGTGCAGTAGCAGGACAAAAGTAAAAAGTGTAAACCCATACAGAAGAGAAGAGATCGTGATTTAGGCCAAGGCCACTTGGCGGCTTCTTTCAGTGGTGGTAGCAATGCATCAACAGTATAATATTATATTCGATCCGCGAATCTCCCTTTGTGCCTCTCAAACAAAATATTCCTTCGCCATTTATAATTAATTCGAGCTTTTTTAAGTCATATCCCGTTGATAAAATGAAAAAAATCCATGGGGAAGCAGGTTTTCTTTTTCCCTTTTGTATTGAACTAAATTGCAGTTGGTGAAAGATTATATTTATACGGCTTACATTTTCCTTAATTAGTCAAACAATAACACTGTAAACATTTATGAAATCCCAACTTTAATTTCCCTTTCTTACTTATTTTTCATGAAACCAAACGCAGCTTTAACAAAGAAATGTCCTCAAGGATTCCAGCCACAACTCCTTTAACTTTCAAAAGAAAAAAAGAAAAATAAAAAGTGAGAAATGGAACAACCACTGATTAACCCCTCTCTCTCTCTCTCTCAAACAAACAGAAAGGATTAAAAGGAAGAAAGCCCATATATTATAGTCTGAGGAGTG